AGTTGGGGGAGGCCACTGGGAGAGACATTCGAACGCATTGCCGAAGTTGCCTGATGCTCCCTTGAAGAAACTAAAGCTTTGTGGACATTCAGAATAAATTACAATGTACAAAACAATGTAGTCGTGCATACTTCGCGTCATTCGTGCTAGAAATGAGGTTATGATCGAAATATCTCTTATTGTATTAATAGCAATCCAGGTTTAAACTTTACCAAATTATTTGAGTTCTTTGTAGTACAAAAATATATTTCACTTTACGACACGATTTCTCAAAAAATGTTTGATGAAATTGGGTTTTCTTTGTTAGTTTCTCATACTTGAATGTATAATCTGTAATAAAAATGTGAAACTCGGTTAAAAAAAAAAAAAAAAAATTTCTTAGCCATGTCCATCAAACTGTTGAATTGCCCTAAAGAATATTTACCGGTTTATAGTACCAAAAATCCACCTAAAAAGACGCTCAAGGTGCTTTACAAAATTAAAGAATAAGCGAATATAGAAAAAAAGAAAATTAACCAATTGCACAGTAAGTTTGTATTTGAATACATGTATGTCTTAAAGGGAATATACAACATTTGCAAACATCGAAAAATATAACTACCCAGTTTTTACGAAATACCTTACTAGGATGTTAGTAAATGACAGTGTAAAGCATCCTGTAAAATTATGGCACCTGGTGTGAAGTCATTTTCAAGAAAAGTGGTATTTTTGTATACATTTCCAACGGTGGTCGGCCGACCACCGTTGGAAAAACCTAACTATTTTTTAACTACTGCGCCAACTTTACCATTTTTTTCAGACCAAATTTTGTTTGCTATGTTCATGAACGGGTGCAGGCCAACTAGACTGGTTCCATCACCTTACAATTTTCCGGCATCGATAAATTGATACATATCATCTTTAGTGGAGTCAGGGAACCAGACTACTTGAACAATTTTGTTTTTCTTGATTTTTCCAGCATTTTCGAACACAAAACTACAAACATGTCAGTGTAACAATATTTGATCTATTATACTAACCCCTCAAATAATTCATTTCTGAAAATTACAGCAAAACCCAATTATGTACATGTACATTCCCTTTAACACCAAAAATGTACATAATGTACATGTACATGTATGTACCAGCACTTTATTCTTTTCTTAACATACTCAAGTATTTTAGCCACAGATCTCTGGATTTCTGCTAATGCTGTATGACTATGAGTACAAACACAGTACACGTAGAGCCGCTGTAAATGTATTGTAATCTACTGAAATTGAATTCCAACTTGCTCTGTGGCAAGTTTGATTAGATGAGGGTCGTTGAAAATAAACACAGCCGCCAGCGCCAGCCAGGGCAGCGAAAACTATTAAAAGCCACGTGAATACCAGACAATTGCTCAAATACAGGGGCAGACCAGACATGTACAGTATGCACGAGTTACGGACATGAAAGCTTCTGTATGTTTTAGGATGAAGCAGTATCCAAAATTAGGAATTTAATCAATTACTTACACCATGTACACGACAAATGCTCTAAGCAGTAGCATACATGTACAGGGTGATTCAAAAGGAAAATGACCTGGATTAATGATTTTTCCCCTTAAAAAGCAAATAAATTGGACACACCAACAAAGCATATGAATGAGCATGTTCTTTCACTCATTTAAATTAGGAATTACTGAAATTGATCCATGCTACCGGTAGTAATGAGAAGTTACAGTGTATGCATATTTTGCGAAAAGAATCCATTTTGTACAGCTGTCCATGAATGCCACTTTAAGCTATTGAGCTGAGGTAGAAGCAGAGATTACGCAAAGGCATTAAGACACAAATTTATGAGATTTTCAAAAAATTTTGTCAAGACTGAAACATTATTTTTACTTTTTGTGTGTGTTGATTTATGATTTTTTTTTTTGTCTGAAATAATGATGTTTTTTGTCGGTTTTCATGTGCAAATTTTTGTCCATTTATGAAGGCAGGAGAAAGCCTTGTTTCATTGTATTTGATCGGTAAATATGATCATTGGTGGTCAGCTGAATTTTGTGAGTTTTGTATTAAAATGGACACTTCTCAACCGTGAAACCACCCACCAATAGGAATGGGTAAACTGTCACAGGTACCGCTATTTATGAATAAATTTACAAAAATGCACTGGAACATTATAATTCACACTTCCAATGTTTTGTGTACATTGTGTAAATACCGTAACTGAGACCTGGGCCCAGTTTCATAGCACTGCTTAGCAGCTGACTTTGTGCTTACCGAGCCTCCATCTATTTCATAGGGACCGTTAAGCAGTAAGCACAGCAAACGCACGCTTAACCCCAGAAGAAAACTTTGCTTAAATCAGTGACGTAACAAGAGAAATCTCCATTCGCGCGCAACCGTTAGCATGAAATAGTGCTTAAGCAGCAGCTTGATTTTCTGCTATAGTAAGCACAACTTTTCTGCTTACTGTTAAGCAGCGCTATTAAATTGGGCCCTGGACTGCACTGGTTTATCAAGCTATTCAGAATGTTTTGTGCGCCACATTCCACTCTGGTTAAAACAATTCGCCCATGTGTCTATACTGGCGGATTACAATGTGCATGCGTACTAGTACATGTACATGTGTATGTGTAGGCCTACATGTGTGGATGGTTGAGAAATGTCTAGTATAAAGTAGACATGGTACATGTAGATGCTGAGAACATGTACCGGTAGTTCCCACAAACAGGGACCTACATGTACATGTATGTGGTCAGGATCTAAGGTTCGCTGGTGGAGAGAAGGGGGGGGGGGGGTGTTACAATTTCAGTGAATCATTCTCGAGGAAACATTCCAACATAAAGCAGCACAGAATGGAGAAGACTCCGGTAGAACATTTTGCGACTCACTACAATTGCACGAAGCAGAGAATTATGTCACTAACCAGCAGCCATGGCAACCATGTCAATTTCTGTTGTTGCGCTTCCAGTGCAAAACCTTGAGTGAAAATCTCTTGCGAAATTTGAAGCTGATTTAAGTGGTTTTAATGTTTTGTGGTACGAAGAAAATACATTGTTTCAGGGGTGTGAAATCTCAGCTTTGAAGCTGATTTCAGCTTTTTGGGTTTTGGATTTCAGCTTTTTTTCAGCTTTTTCCCTGACTTGCTGTGTACAAAAGTATAGGAGATCTCCAAAATTCAGCTTTTTTACACCTTTTCCAGCTGTTTTCAGCTATTTTTATCACTGGTCACTCACACCCCTTATAATGCCGTTTCCATTTATTATTTTGTTAAAATGTGAAACCAACAGTCATCTGGTGATTCTGGTCCTTGGACATTCTTCTGGTATGGACATGAACAGTACAAATGTACGTCCGTAATCCTTGTATTACCTGTGCGTGTACCCATTTGTGTGCAGTTTGACACAGGGGATTGACCGGAAGAATTAAGTGTTGCGTACTGACGTGCATGCATCTGGACGGATTATTATGCATACATGTACATACGCGTACACTTAGGTTACAGGCATGTACATCCACGTATTAAATTGATGATACCGGTACAGAGGCCAATAGAATTATACCAAGTGACGTCATACAAACATGTACATGTAGTACATGTAGTTGAAGCCTTCAATAAGCAGGATCTTTTGTATCTTTCAGCATTACTGAACCATTAACATCTTGTTCATCCGCACGATTTTGTTAATACCGTTACACATAATACACATGTGTATTCACATCCACTATTGACTATGTCCACACGAACAATGTTCACGTACGTGTGGGCACTTCCCCACTAAATGAGGTACAAATTGACTGTTAAATTTAGGATTACACTGGAGGGTCCAGTAAAGCAAGATATTTTGTTCATTTTTTCCCCTGTACGTTCCTGCGGCCATACATTGTTATGATAATGTGTGCCGAAAATATAGAGGACTTTCGGGTACCTTGAGAAATTACAGGGGTCATCGTAAATAATTATGTACATGTGTACGTAGTTACTGTGGACAGAAATTTTGCTTTACAGTATTGACAGGACACTAATTATCACGTTGTATTAATTTTCCCATATGTCATCTCCTTTATTCAGTTCTTTGTATTCATAACCCATTTAGGATAGCAACAGCCAAAATAAACTGCAATTTTCTTGGTCTTAACACACCTATGGACATGTAACGTACCAGTACGTAACATGGACAGAAATCTTGTGACAAATTTGTGCCCATGGTAGGTACGTAATATTCTGAACCTGATAATCCTGAGACTCTTAAACATAGGGCCTACAGTAGATTTTCTACGTAACATGGACAGAAATCTTGTGACAAATTTCTGTCCATGCTACGTACGTAATATTCTGAACCTGATAATCCTGAGACGTCTTAAACATAGGGCCTTCAGTAGATTCTCTTGGTTTTTTTTTATAGGTAACAATGCTGTAGGGATAAGAATGAAAAGGCACAGCATTTGATAAAAATTCATTGTAATTACAAACTCTATCTCTCCATGTTTGATAAGTATGTGACATTCTGAGAATGCACAAATGTACAGGGTGAGTAAAACAAAACGAAACCAAAATGTTGGGACCATTGTTTTAGTGAAGTTATGCATATAACACTTTCAAAATCTAGGATATAAAAGCCCAATTCATTTGCCTTCTTTTAGTACAAGAATCATTCAAATCACTCATACATGTACTTTCAGTGTTCTTTCAGCAAAACGAAAACAAATCATATAGGGCTGTGTGTGAATTGTTTTCGTTTTGCTGAAAGAATGCACACCGTTTTTGTGATCCGTGGACAGAACTTTAAAACGATGGTTGTCTTTAAAATTCCGTAACTTGAAAAGTACACGAGTGATTTGAATGATTCTTGTACTAAAGGAAAGCTTATGAATTGGGCATTCATGTCCTAGATTTTGAAAGTGCTACATGTAGAACTTCAATAAAATAATAGTCCTGACACTTTGGGTTTTTTTACTCACCCTTTATGTATCTTTTTTGCCTAGATTTACGTTTGAAAGATCAATTTGTTTTTCTTCTTTTGTTGACAGTCCCTTGTTTGTGACGTGGAAGATCGGGAAGGACAAGCGTCTACGTGGCTGTATAGGAACCTTTACTGCCTTGAATCTACACGATGGCCTCAGGGAATATGCAATCTCTAGGTGAGTAGCTTATTCCAGGGGGCAACTTTGGCTACTCACAGAAACAACGAGACCAGCACCTTATTTCATGAAATTCATCGTAACTTAAATATGATGCATCACTGTGCTGCGACACGTCGTATACCTACGATCTGTCGCAGAGCTACGGTACGATGCGTCGCAGCTGCGACACGTCCTTTGATTCATTTCACAAAACACATTGTAAGTGCGACGGGTCGTACGTGAACTAGTTGGTGTATTTATAGTACAACACAGTGCCCGTTACATGGCACACAGTAAAAACATTGTAGTTGTCTGATCTTCAGCAAAGAGTCGTCAGATCTGAGCTTGCAAAGGTTTTAAAACATATAACAAAATGGCGAGCGTCTGATGCAGTTTTAAAGGAAAATGAGCTCACGGTGGACTGTTAGCTACTTTGAAATTTCGACCAGGCTAGCTAATTCATAATTAATTTTGATGCATATTCCATTTACTACTTCACACACAGTGTCTCGGTAATGGTATTATTGTCTCGTTTATTAAACTTTATGGCATACTGTACATTTGTAAAACTGGCTAACTCGAGATGCTTTTTATTTTGCGATGACCACTAGACTCGTGGTAACTTACGACACGTTCAACACGAAATGGATCACACCAGTATCATGCTTTGCACAAACCTGGACATTTTTTTTTTAAGTTTTAGCATTTTCAAATTAATGCGTATTTTAGCTTCAAACATAAGTATTGAAATGCTCTTTGTATAAAGTTCTGCAAATATTTTTTTTCATGGGTGGATTATATTCATATTTTGGGAGGTTTGTAGATTAATATACCGGTACCGATGTAGTTACCGATTCAGAAAATCTCAAAACCTCAAAATGGTCAGTTCCACCCCCCAAAATGACTTCACACACACTTTGCGCAAGACACAACATCTACAACTTTGTCTGGGTTTTGTGGGAGTGCATGAAAATCTTACATTCGGTCAGCAAATTTGTAGGTACATTTTTTGCCTGGGTCGTCGTGAAACGGCTTTCTGAGATTTGCCCCTGTTGAGCATCGATCAGGTAGGCATCCTACCGGTACACGGAGACATGCTAAGGGCATAATCTCAGTGAAGCTGGAACGGAGATCTTGACATTACGACGACGGTTCAACAGTAAATCACTGCCCTTGTGTTTTGCCATTTCAATGAGCATTTTAGTATCGACACACGTTGGAATGTCAATGTCACATGCTTATAGGCTCAGGTGTGTCCCAGTACCTTGATGAATTTTTGATGTGATCTACATGTAATATGTTTTGTCGTTTTTTTTTGGGGGGGGGGGCCTAGTAGAGCATTACATGTAAACGGTGGATTTTTTATGATCAGCCCTACATGTAAGTGTAAATGTACTTGACATTGTGTTTTTGCTCTTGCTTTTCAAAATCATTAGTAGAGTTTTGGGTATGATATACCGGTATGTCAAGAGAAAATGGCATCGTTTTCTACTTTTTTTCCCCCAAGAGTTTACCTTGCTTAAATAATCCCATTTTTATCAAGTATGAAGTTTTTTTTTTTATTTCAGCAAAGTACGAGATCTTCAAGATCGTAAATGGGCTGTGGCCGGTATTATCTTTTTTGGGAACTGTCTTTATTTTTCAAATGGGCCAACTTTTTGCATTAATTCTCTTTTCACTAGACTACAGCTGTTGATCTTTCAAATGGCTGCTCCTGTGTCCAGTGTACTTAGACTTTGAGGCTAAATGTAGGATCATTTGCCTTTCATGCATTTTGTTTGTTTCCAATTAAAAGACACTACTCAAAATTCAAAGAAGAATGTTCAAAACTTGGGTTTCAGCCCAGTGGGTATTACCATTGCTGAGAAAACTGTGTAAAACCCTGCAAAAGCTTCGATCACGAAACTAAGATTTTGTCAATAGAACTCTTTTATTTCCAACGATCAGTCAATTGACTGACCGTCGGAAATCACATACATTTTTTTAATTCTTCAATATGACAGCAAGCCAGATGGAAGAATTTTACGGGGTGTTTAGTACCAGTACGATCATTAACCCTGACCTTCCTCAATCCTCCAAAATCCTCACGGCGGTTTTGGAGGATTGAGGATACCGGGGGCAAATGGTTTTTAAGAAACATGAGGATTTTGGAGGATTGAGGATGAATGGTGTTTGAGCAACATGAGGATTTTGGAGGATTGAGGATGAATGGTGTTTAAAGAAGAGCAGGATTTATGGAGGATTGAGGATGAATGCATATTTTGAGGCAGGACTTTCTGACGATTTTGTAGGATTGAGGTCCTGGGTATCCTTCAATTGAACATAAGTGCAAACTATTGGAGGATTTTGGAGGATTGAGGATGGATCCTGGCAAAAAGGCCCTAGGGGATTTTAATTCAAGTACAGTGGAACGTCGCTATACCGAACACCGCTATACCGAACATTCGGCTATACCGAACATCATCCTTGGCTCCCGGTTTTAATGTACAAAACGTACTGAACATTGTTGTTGATAAAAAAACAACAGATTAACAAAAATGTACCGGTTGTACATATATTTAACACTATTTGTGCCACTTTTAATTCCCGAACATCAAACGACACATAGTTACATCGTGTTTGAATGTTGAAGAGCGATAGATGGCTATTATTTCCCCAAGGAATTAAAAAGGGAACACCAACCATTGCTCAAGTTTTCAACTCCTCGTGCGGCCGCGGGATGTGAGAAATGCCAGTTGGTCAGTTGGAAATGCTATTGGTCAACAGAAGGTACCGGCGGTTCAAAATCGCTATACCGAACGATCGTTATTACGAACACTTTCTGTGGATCCCACGATGTTCGTTACAGCGGCGCTCCATTGTAGTCTTTTTTGATAATAATTACTTTTTGGATAAATGCAACTGATCATAGATACATGTATGCCTTTAATTCAAGCATTCAGAATAATCAAACCGGTCACATGTGCAACTGTGGAAAGCCAGTCTCGCAACTGGTTAATATGTAACTTCAGATTGGGTAAAAAGACATCATTATGCAGTGACTGTTAACATTTTTTGTCTATTCAGACATGTACAGGGTATTCATGTACCCCTAGACCCCAGGTGGCACTTGTCATTACTGCACTTGGCATGTCATGATAACCCATATCTGATCCGGCATGAAAACACGAAATTCCTGGCAACAATCGCCCTGTGATCAATACATACCACCTGGCTCTGGTGGACTGTGGCCGTGATGTCATTAACATGAATGACTCAAGCACTGTTTCTGCATACATGTGTAGCACGCACAGTCGAAGATCTGTTGTGGTCATTTTGAGAGTGGCCCACTCGCAAAACAATTAGTGCCAGCTAGGGGGTGGGGTGGGTTTCAAAACAAATGGTTCAATGGTTACAGTGTTCGAATCATGTGCTGTGGTACATGGGTCCGATCCCTGACGGGGAACATGGTGCTTGTGTTTTTGGGCAAGACACTTTACTACAATTGCCTCTCTCCACCCAGGAGTATGAATGGGTACCTGTGAAGGTAGAGACCAGAATGCGCTGATCTCGAGCTGCTGCAGAAAAATGGTCTCGTTCATGACGAACAGGGATAATAATTGCAAAGTGCTTTGAAACCAACTATAAGGCGCTATAGAAGCACCACATTATTGTTATTATTTAGAATGTGAAGTAATCCATAATGCACAAATTTATTTGGATTTCAAGCTTGCAGAAAAATTACCATCCTTTTTGGTGAGGCTTTTACCGGCCGTTGAGGAAAAACAACAACCGCCTTGAACATTCTCATTTCAAGGAAGCAGATTGCAACCGGAGTTGCCTGAATGATGTATGACCGGCAATCACCCCCACTCTCTTTCTCTCTCTCTTATTTATCCGCTTTCTGCTTCCCTCTTCTTCTTTGGCAGTGCTTTTAAGGATAGTCGTTTCCCGCCTGTCAATAAGGAGGAGATATCCCGTATGTCATGCTCCGTCTCGCTGCTACGTCACTTTGAGGAGGCGCGAGACTATGAAGATTGGGAGGTAATTATTCAAGGGCTCTCTGTTTTTTTGGTCGTAGCTTCAATGTCTGCTGCTATGGGTATGTTAGAAAACAGCAAGGTGTCTTGGTACATGTATGTGTAGAAAACGGCAAGGTCCCTGCAAAAAACCTAAAGAAATTTTAAGAGTTTAATGTTTTTTTACTCACCCTGTACATGCAGTTTACTATTTTAAAATTTTAATGTACTGCAGGATCAAGTTAATATCTTTTTTTTAAATTTAGGTCGGCGTCCATGGTATTCGCATAGAATTCTACAACGAGAAAGGTCAGAAGAAGACTGCTACTTACCTTCCAGAAGTAGCCTCGGAACAGAGTAAGTCTGGAGGTCGTGTAATGGCTGGTAATTGACAGATTTAAATAAGGAATTTGAGCTAATAATCCACATGAAAGTTCTCAAATCATGCCATGTAAAGTGGCTTTCGACAACATTGTGGCTTTCGACCAACAATGAAACCACGCAACTTATACAATTAAAATAACTTTTGTGGATATCTCTTTTATCATTTCCTCAAGACTGTTAATATTAAAAAAAAAGAAAATTGAAAAAAACAAATGCTATTCCGATATTAGGTGGATGATTGACTTTGCAAATATTCGGTACATTGGAGTTTCCTAACGTGGCACACTTCATTTCCCTCGACTGTCATCGTGCAGTGTTCCCAAACGTCTTTGTTGACAAAGGTCAAATTCATTCAGTTAAATACTGGTACTCTTACCTTAATAATTCTTGCTGTTGAACCTTTGTGAACAATTTCATTGCAACGAAATTTAGTCCGAAATTCAATGGTAATGTCCGGAAATTGGGATCAAATGCGGTTAAGTGTTCCCTAACGTGGCACACTTACACAAATCTCAGAAAATCCCACGTTAACATTTAAGAATTTCTTTAAAGTTGGTAAATTCTGATAAATCGTTATCATCTCCACTCTTATACCCAACTACAAGTTTGTCAGAAAATTATTTTCTTATTTGTGGGTGCATTTAAAAGGGTTCATTGTGCACTTCAAAATAAAATTAAAAAAATCACGCCAAAATGGAATTTTTCTGGAACGTTGTAGCGATACGTAAACTCAAGATTTATGAATGGGAATGTTTAAAGCTTGATGAAATTTAATTTGCTGTGAAATTTGAAGTAAAAGTTTTGCTCTAGCAAGGCAATAGAGAAAAAAAATCAAAGGCCGCCACGTTAGGGGCCCCGCCATGTTAGGGGCCGCGCCATGTTAGGGGACATCAACAATATATTCGCACAGCTGTAGAGGTCTTTGTTTGATTGGGAAAAAAAATGGCCTGCATAATAATTTTGGACCCTTTTTGGGTATCCCTGTCTCCCCAGATTGGAACAAAGAGCAGACGATAGACTCGCTGCTACGCAAGGGCGGCTACAAGACGCCTATCACCAACGACTTCCGCAAGACGATACGGGTGACCCGCTACCAGAGCGAGAAGATCTCGGTCCACTTCAGCGACTACGCCGATCACTTTCGTCAGAACGGGCGGGTTTAATGAATGGCAGCCACAAGCGCAAACTCTGTGGGGGAGGAGGGGCCTCAGGCACACGTGCACGGCACTCGTGATAATCGGCGTCGTGTTCGCGATTTACTTTCTCAACTGAGCTTTTTTTGTTAAGTGCGGTATTGTCGGGGAGGCCATTACAAGTTCTTCAGTCTTAAAGTCAAGTCCCAAGCAATTTGTGACAAAAGCATTCCTTTGTCAGTGTGTTCATCCCCAGCTGCTCGTGACTGGACTTGAGAAAGGACTTGGGATTTACTTTTTGACCGGACTTGTGATGGACTTGACTCCAAAACTGTCCAAGCAGTGGGATAGGTCAAAACGTCACTTCACGCAACACTTCAGGCCGTGGTTGATACTTGGACGTGCGAATGCAAGCATTTGGACAACATGTAACAATCACAGCCAAATGTGTGGAAATGAGTTGAAACTTTGGAAAGAATGTTGCATCCTGACGCCTTTTTTTCATCATATATATATATATTACCTCAATGAAGGCCAGTCATTGCAAAAATATTGAAAAGACATGAATCTGGGACTGAGAAACATTTCCAATTTTGTTAGCAAATACTTGGTATAAATGTACTCAACAATCCATAGACTTTTACGCAACCTAAGAAGTGGCGTTACGATACTACATTCTTTCCGAAACTTTTTGCAGAGTTGCTGGGCGATTACTTGCTACGATGTCACAAATCCGTGTTCCAGTTTCGAGTGTGAACCGGCCCTTATACATGCGTAGCATCAGTTTTAAACATTGAAGCCCTGTTCATACTTCATGCCAATTTTAGAGCGAAGCGAAGTTGCTTGTGTTTCCGAATTTGCTCGTGTTTCTGAGTGCTTGTGTTTCAAGAAATTGGCACTGCTCTCATATATGCAGTATGAACTAACCACACTAGTCTGGCATTATTAGTGTTGCGAAAATGAACTTGGGCAACTGTATACATGTACATGGACACTTGTCTGTAGCATGTTGTGAGGACAGTATGTCACGAATTGGCATTCATGCAACAATGTGTGGTTAAACCATAGAGCTACATTAAATTACTAGAGCGCTAACTTCGTGTACAAAGTAACGCCTGCTGGGCGCATCCATGTTTGTGCAGAAACCTATGGAGACCAAGAAATTGTGAACGGCTTTTGTACGGCTATTTGCATATCTGCGTTTGTATTCCATACTGGTGCGTTATCGAAGCTGATACGCCTAAAACCGAAACGCACGATCAGCAAAAGAGCATGTCATTTTGCTCTACGCAAACAGCGCAACACGTGCACGTATTCGCTGCAGATGCTTTTTGCCGTCACGTTTTTTTTAACCGTCAGTGACGCGCTTAAGTTGTTTGCGTATGTTCTACTTGCGCGTTGCGTGTAGAGAACACTTTCAAAATTCACTCCACCTAATTTCATTGTGTTCTACAAACACGCACATGAATTCAAAATGTCTGCGCCCAGGACGGCTTTAAAACGTCTCTGCTCGCAAGAATGAAGAGTTAGCACTCTAGTAATTTAATATAGCTCTATGGGTTAAACCAATTTGCAACTTCTCATTCTAAATTTTTTTTTTTTCCCCCTTGCTTTTTTGACCTCCTCTTCCCCCTCCAGTTTGCGATTGTGGCTGATAACGGAATCTCTTTAAAACACCCAGGGATATGTATGAAAATTATTCGAGAAATGAATTAAACAAAGAAAGACACAATTCCACGATATCTGTTTTTTATACGGAGTTATATTAAAGAGCCTAATTCATTTTTGATAAGTTAGTTTTTAACTGAGAGTTTCTAGTCTCCGTAGTAGCAAATTCAACCAACTTCAGAAGATGGTGAAAGATTTCACGTACATGTATGTGTCAGTACCAGTAGTAGCAGGTTTTTGTGACTTAAGGACTAAATTGAAAAAAAAAAATTTGGAAAAAACGAAGCATTGTAGACATGGTGGATAAAAACGGAGGGGTGGGGTTTGGGAGAAAGTGGGAGGGAGGACCCTGTTCTACATCAGTGCCTGCTCTAGTGTAGTCTTTCCTCAAGGCTGGATTTGTTATTTGTTGCCCTAATGCAGCTGTTTCCGATCCGTGGCAAACATAGTCAAGCCACTGTGGTAGAGGCACTGTCAACAAGATGAATCTTATCCAGTCTTGGCAACTTCGGCAGCGTGACCCAAGACATTCCAAGCATACTGTACCTCACACGCAGCGTATTCAAGCCAATGCGTGCATGTGAGGTACGCTCCGAACTTCTTGGTTTCCAGTGCCAAAGTTCCCAAGACGATTTGATTCATCTTGTCGACAAGGCGCCTCTACCACCGCAACGTCACGAGCAGGGCATGTGGTGGCTGACCTGGGTGAGCTCTGAGAATGACGTCAGAGCTAATCAAACGGCACGGGGCTCACCCGAGTCGACTCGGGTGAGCTAATCGATCGAACGCACCAATAGATTGTTTGCATTGCAGGCTTCTTTGAAGGACATGCATGTGTTACAGAGGGATACTCATAAATAGACCCGTTGTGCATTCATTGTTACTGAATCAAGTAACGAAAGTCCCTCAAAGATGGCAGCGGGATGCAAAAGGTCAATACATGTAACACAGACAACAGTCTGTCTGTAATGTTCAGAAATAGTGAAGTACATGTCCCATTTTATATATATCGTCGGGGAAAAATGGAAACGAAGTTGGAAAACCTGTCCTGGTCAAGTTATGTCACAGATCAATGGTGCGTCGATTTATCTTAGTTGAGTAGATGAGTATAGATTTTTTCACACATAGATTTGAATGTGGAAGGACATTTTTATATTTGTATTGTGGTACTTCTGAATTGATGGCTCATATACTGTGGTCTGGCACTGGATAGTAAGGCTTAGGTCCTAAACGAAAAAGAGAAAGAAAAAAAAATTCCACCTAAAAAAAAATTGAATAGATTATAGATCAGTGTCTTGTCACACGACCCTGAAATTATAGATGTTTTTGTGGAAGAGGTACAAAAAAAACTGTTGTAATTGTGGTAGCCAAGACATATTTTCAAAAAACGAAGTACAAAATTTCACCCCTGTGTTTTTAATATGGTGCAGCACCACCAAGTGATTCGCATCCTGCACAAAACGATGAATGGAAAAACAAAAGGTTATTGTGGTGGTTTTGAGTAGAGTGTTCAAAAGTTGGTATTTCTGAATGAATGTCCTTAGAAGTTAAAAGATTGATGTGTAGTTTACTCTCGAAAATGTAAAGAAAAAAAGGATTGTGAATTGGTTTTTTTTTAAATTTTTTGTTTTACTTTTAGTCGGGTGCTCTAGCTCTGTCATCCTCTAATCTGGTGCAATTGTGAAAGGGTACAAGACGGCACCCACCTGTGTATAAAATCATGGGGACCAAGTACAATTTTTGTGTGATTTCTTCTTAATGAATATTTATTTCCATCGTCCTTTTCTGAAACTTTGATTGGTTCCGAGTATCATTGGTATTCAGTTTTGTTTAATTTATGCTCCTGCCCAGATGTGGCGAATGAAAACACACGAATTTACAAATTGAACAGTGCCTGAGATCGCAAGCAATTCAAAGTAGATCATGAAAGTATCATATTCAGATATCATATTTTTTTTTTTTTAGTTTTACAGTTTTTGGTTTTATTGCCTGTTTTGCATGTTTTATTTCTATCCAATGTAACTACACTGTATGTAGCATGTTTTAAAGTTTTGTTTTATATTGTACGTAGATTTACACAGACAAAAAAAAAAGCACAAATGTTGGTGAGTAATTTATCATAGTACGAAGTAGCTTATTCTTCACGTTTTAATTATTCATTGATTTCTCTGTTTTGTACCATAATACTTGCCTGTTTTATTTTACATTTCATTTATGACCATTTTGCCGAATCGATATTATGCAGTTTTACTAAAAGCACTGATCTTGACTAACATGCTCAAACAGCGTTCCATCGGAGCGTTGGGATTTTTTTCATTTGGCAAATTAATGAACAGGCTTTGAGAAGGGGCAGTGGTGGAAACTATAGCAAGGCCCAACTATGGTTGGGATGGTCCCAACCACAGTAAGGACGCTCCTAACCACAGTTGGGACACTCCTAACCATAGTTGGGACACTCCTAACCATAGTTGGGATGCTCTTAACCATAGTTGGGACGCTCCCAACCACATTTGGGACGCCTACTCCCAACCACAGTTTGGACGCTCCCAACCATAGTTGGGACGCTCCCAACCACATTTGGGACACCTTCTCCCAACCATAGTTGGGACGCTCCCAACCATAGTTGGGATGCTCCCAACCATAGTTGGGATGCTCCCAACCATAGTTAGGATGCTCCCAACCATAGTTGGGACGTTCCCAACCTTAGTTGGGAAGGAACCATCACTAGTTGGGGGAGGTTCCGATTATAGTTGGGGAGGTCCCAACTACGGATGGGATGATGCTATAGTTGGGAGGTAACAAATCCATTACCATTATGAAACATATATCACAACCATTCTACTTGGGCCTATTAGTGGCTACTCTTGATTCAAGACTGAGTTTATATGTTACCTTGTGCCACTGTCTGTGCAGAAAATGTTGGTCAGCGAAACTTAACCTTGATTTCAAGGCTGTGCTGTACCACCGGGTGGGCATCACCGACAGGGCTACAGCTTACCCAGCTCTGGCCCTTGTTAGTACAGCAAAACCCCATCGATCATGTGAAGCCTGCAGTGCATACTCAACTAGGCCTACACCATATTACACATTTTTTGTACTTGGCATTTGTGTGGCCACCGATGCCTACTGTGTGCCATCAACTGGTAATGAAATGGTCCAGTCTGGAATTGAGGCTAGTTCTTTTAGCCAAGTTTAATGCTGGCATGGCAAAGTGTAGTGTTGAATGATTTCACCCCAGGGCTTGTATTTGGTACACACAACATTTTTTTTATGAATGGCAGTCAACAGTATTGTAAATGAAAGGGACGGTGTTAACCAGTGTGTATTGGGTACCGAGGATATATAATTCATCCTATTCGATAAAATTGGTGACGGTTTTCTTTCATGGATTTGACACTGAATGTGGGGAAATTTATGATCAAATTATTCAAAGTTGTAGAATTGTTCTCGCACCAATCTTACAGTATTTTGGACGCCCCATTGTGTGACTCCAACTCCCTTAAAAAATGTTTTGAACAGAGACGTTAAATAAACGGAGAACTGCCAACGTAGGGTTGGATAGCTCAGTTGGTAGAGCACCAGAACGGTAGTCCGGAGGTTGCAGGTTCAAACCCAGCTTCGGTCAATTTCTTTGTTCAACTTAAAAAAAAAAAAAATCTTGGTGCACGGATGCATTTACTAATTTTCTGGTCCAAATCTGTAGATGTGTTTTTTTCCCTTAACTATAGTGTTGTGTTGGAAGAAATGAAAATTTCCATCATTTTGAAAAAAAAAACCAAAAAAAAAAACCTGTTAGTAATCCTGTACGATGGTATTTTGATCGGATCTAGCGGGACGGGACCTTGTTGAGTGTTAGGATGTTGTATATATGTCAGTAGGACAGACTTGCAATTAATGGATTTGTATAATTTAGAAATTAATAAAGAACACGATCCGAGTATCAAAAAAGTGTGTCATCTGACTGTTGTTTGGTGTTAGTGTTGCTGTTGTGACAGTGGCTTTAACATTGCTGTTTTGATTCACAGAAATGGCCCTGTTCCCTTTGGTAGGGAAATCTTGAGCAAAAAATGTTAGTGAGATTTGCTTGCTGAATGTGACCACCAGCAGAGGCCTCTGCTGTTGCCATTCTTCAGTCCGTCTTGAAGTGTGGATGGACCGGGAACTAGTCTAGGTCTCCCCCAACTCTTCTTTTCTGGCCGTTGAGGGGGGTACTTGTGCACGAAGCCCTTAGGATTGCTATAGGATTCCCATAGACTGATCAACTAGCTTGCCTATGGACACAAGCTCCATAGTCTTGCTGGTTCCAACCTGAAGAACTACTCTCAATCTTGAGACGGATGCAACAGACAACTAGGCCTGGTCGGACAAGACAATCTCAAAACCAAATGAAGTTGCAAAGACACAAGAAATTTTGTAACAAAACTGGCAACAATGCTTTATTTACATTTACTTGTAAACAATACTTGTTTTGGGGTTTGAAAAGCCAAGATAAATTTGAAGACAATTCATGTGAAATGTTCCCGTCATAATTCATTGAAGACTTGGGACTCCCTTTTAAGGGCACAATTCCAATTTAGGATTCAATTTCTCAACATTGATGCTTTTGATTCACTGAAGAATTTGGCACAAAAGAAATTCAACTATTTCTTTCACAATTAGTTTTCAATTCTTATAAAATGTCAAGACTATTTTGTCTACACACCAGAAGACACTGTCTATTGTAACAAAAAAGTCTGGGGGTATTAGATTTTGGGTTAAGCATGCTACGAAATACAGTTCAGTAATCAACATACTCTACAAATCATCTGTAGTGTTTCATCAAATCTAGGTAAAGCACTAAATTACTGTGTTTCTGGGATCTAGACAGGAATGTTTTTCTCACAGATCAAACTTTGTTCTGTAAGTAGCGGGTAGACAGACAAAAAGATGAAGTACTTTTACTGTAGAGGAATTTAAGGTTAGTGAAGTGGGGTTAGTGATCGGGTTCCATATCAGCGTCGGCAAATTGTCCTGTGTCCATGGCTTCATCGCGTTCTCCGGAACCTGACAAATTGGACAAGAAAAAGAAAGACAATTTACATTTAGGTTAAATATTGACCAGCAGGGAGGGCACTAGTGCACATCTATGCACCCTGAGGGACTGTGAGTGCCTCAGAGAGGGTCCTATTTTTCAATGAGAAAGGGAAATAGTGTACTTCTAGTAGTTTAGGTAAGTAAAATTTAACCAATTATTTTAATAGCTTGTGACTTGACTTGAGACTTTAACCCCCTCGGCCCTTTTTGCTAAGAACCATCCTCAATCCTCCAAAATCCTCCAAAATTTTGCAACTCCGCCTAAATTTTTCAAAATTGTCAGACAGTCCTGCCTCAAAATGCATTCATCGGCAATCCTCCAAAATCCTCCTCATCCCAAAACTTTGCACTTGTGTTTAAATGAAGGATAACCAATGCCAAATCCTTCAAAATCATCAGACAGTCCTGCCTCAAAATGCATTCATCCTCAATCCTCCAAAATCCTCTTGTGCTTCAATCACCATTCATCGTCAATCCTCCAAAATCCTCTTGTGCTTCAATCACCATTCATCCTCAATCCTCCAGAATCCTCCTTTGATTCAATCAACATTCATCCTCAATCCTCTAGAATCCTCCAAAACTGCCAGGAGGATTTTGGAGGAGTGAGGTGGGTTAGGGTTTGACTTGTGAGGATTTGCGACTCCCACCAATCTCACCTGACTGTGCCGCCATTTTGATCGTGCCGCCGCCGGCGTGTCCGTTCAGACCGGCCCTAGCCTGTTGCCCCTGCCCAGCTTGACCCGTGACCTCGTCGACACTTGACCCCTCCACTCCCTCCGCACAGTCCTCCCCCATGTCTTCCTCTGCATCATCTGGATGGAAAAAACAATAATGCTAGTTCTTCAATCCTGCAAAATCCCGGATTTCAGTGATTCTGAAAGATTTGTGATACGGCCAGTTCATACCTTTTTTATTTAAATTCACAAATTCCACCTATCATACAATAAAAAAATGCTTTCAATTTTCTTTTCACAATCAACACTAGTTCGACGTTCGGAAATAAAACTGTCTGGATTTTGATCCCAATTTTTAGAGCTTTTTCTTGTAATTGACTTGACCCTACCAGTTTTAGTAATACTAAAAAGAGCATTCAAATGCCATGGAAAAAAAAAGCACCTTGAAAATCTTCAAATTTGAGATTCTGGAATCTGGACCTTACCAAATTCATCTCCAAAATCTTCATCCGAGGGTTCCGAGTCCTCTGGATCCGGGTGGAGAGTCTGACAATCCGACATCACTGTAAACATCGGCTCCACTGAAATGAAGAATAAAATAATAAAAAATACAGGCCTAGTAACCAGTAATGATAACTTTTTTGATGGTGATGGTAATTTCACCAAAATTTACGTAATGGCGCAAGTCATTTTTAAGTTGTTGCGCAGCTGCTAGCTACGCTATAAATTTATGGCGTAAGTCGTGCGCTATAACCAGTTAAGGCCTAGGTTACGCACTGTTTTGTGAAATCGGCTGCAGTTCATACTTCAAGCAAAGGCAAAACGAATTTGACATCAAAAAACATTCGCTGCGAAATTTGCCAGAGTTGAAATGTGTCCAACAACTGAATTCACAGCGCAAAACTTGCCGTCACAAATTCGCGATCACGTTTACTTTCGTGCCCAGTATGAACTTTGAACTCCAGTCAATATCTTTATTATTCATCCTGCAACTGGTACACTATCTTACAGGCTTGTTTGTTGTCGGGTATGAATCTCAATTCCCGGATGGCCCCAGCTTGATCTGGTTGCGTTTCTTCTTCTTCGTCGTCTTCATTGTCTCCCGCCCCACCAGTGTCTCTAGAAATTGGGATCTACATACATGACAAAGTACGCAATGACAAGATTGATGAAATATCCTAGCAAGACTGTAAACATCAGGGGGTGGGGATGGGGTAGGATAGGGGCGGGTGATTTAAGGTGGGTAATTGGGAGGGGATGGATGGGTAGGGTTGTGAGTTAGGGGGATGGGGCTTGGTGGGACAAGGGGTTGGTTGAGGCTGGGTGTGGCAGGGGTAGGGGGTGGCACTTGGTGGCGTAGGGGTGGGTTGGGGTTGGGCGGCATAGGGGTGGGTTGGGAGTGAGTGGCGTAGGGGTGGGTTGGGGGTAGGACGGGGGTATGGTTAGGGCTAGGTAGGGAAAGGGGTAGGGTGAAGCTCGCTTCAATTATAACACATATTCTGCTTTACAAAACATAGGAATATAACAAGCATAAAATACTGCTCGGCATATTTTAAAAATCACCTGACAAAGCGTGGCCTTTTTTTGTGTCAAAATCTGTATTTGCTTACACTGTTAATCCTCTGTTTACTTGTGATTGGACTTGTGACACATTTCTGTTGGACCCAACTCACTACTTGTTACTGGGCCAAATACTGCCCTCAGTGGTTAATGCGCAGAGCGGATAGAATAGACCTACTTGTAGTAATTCCGGCATGAGCGCTGTGTCAATCATGAGGTAGAGACACTCATGTGGGTAGGCGGTTAGATCCCTGGATACAGCGTGCAACGAGATGGCAGGGTAGGGGATCTTTACACCTTGGTTGGTAGCGTTGATCCACGATACATAGCTATAATTACAGTAGTAAAAAAGGGTTAAGACTTATTTAATGAGGTAGACATGGTACTTGGTAGACATATACAAAGGACAATAGACCTTGCAGCGTTCTGCGGAGCTAACAGGTACTCGGCGGGCTCCGAAATGTATCATTTTGCGCATACAGCTAGCTAGTCGGAGAACCAGCTGACCAGCGACCCAGGTGATCATGAAAAGTTGCAAACGTTCGGACCAGAATCCATAACTCTCTCTCCAAAAAGTGGATTTTATTGAGCATGCTGATTGATACATAGATTGGAAGGAAAGTGGAGCCTCATACTACTAGTTCTAGGAGTATATTGACGCCACGTTCACAGGTCTAGGTAAAGAGGTCTCAATTTCTTCCAAAAAACTTTTCAAAATTCAAAAAAATAAGCTCAATATAATTAAGATTGAGAAAAGATAGCCTGAGCAAGCTGATTGACTTCTGTCTGTTGCACTTGCACTTGCAGATGTAATTTTGGAGCAACAACAAATATCTGAGGTGTCCTAAACTTCACAACTCCTTAAAAGTTCAACAATGAAAGTTGAAACTAAAATTTGCACTGATAGTGATAAAAATATACTATTAAAAGTAACTTGGCATCCAGACGAAACGTATATAAAACGAATGGCAATATTTCAAGGTCCACAGTCTGCCGCCACAATGCTTGTGTTGACAACAAACTCAACTGACACTGTGAGTGTGACAGACGTCTTGACATTCATTTTTAACTACCTTTCAGCGATGTAAAGTACGCCATTTCCTAGATTTTCCCTCTCCACATGAAGGGCAACATTGTTCTGTTTGTGTCTGACTCCGTCTGCAGGTGCTTGTGTGGCAGAAAGAAGAGACATTTTTAATGACATTTAACAGTGCCGCTCACGTACAAAATGAGCGCATGCGGCGCAGGCAATCAACCTCAGAGTTGCAACGTTGGTGGCCAGTGAACATGAAACAGCCGCCAAAATTCGGTGATGATGAAAACAGCCGTTGTATAGATATTGTTGTTATTAATATTGAGGGCGCTGTTTACATTGTCCGTAAAATAAATTTATCATCACATCGCGCATGCATAATCGTGCAGCGCACACATTCACGATTCGTACCCGGTACCCGTACATCCGCATTGCTGCATTGATGAAAGTGGCGTGATAAGATTAATGTCAGTTCGTGATTTTTTCCTACAAATACCGTCAAGATACAGAAGAAATCTACTGGTAAGAGAATATAGAGATAATTGGTGTATCATTTAATCAACTAAATTAATTTACTTCATTAAAAACATTATTTTGATGGGGACGATTATTGCATTCGGTTTTCCGTGTTATGCATGGTGTGCGTGGGGGTCAGACAAGTCGACCGTTGAGACAACTCGACTCGGGACAAGTCGCCCGTTGAGACAACTCGACCGTTGAGACAACTCGACCGTATGTGCGATAAATGGAAAGACAAGTCGACCGTTGAGACAAGTCGCCTCGCATGTTTTTGGGCCTAGTTTTGGGGATAGTACCGGGGATTTTGACGGCGGCTGATCGCCATTTGGGAGTTATGACACGTAACAGAGCAGAGCCGATATAGCGCAGCGTGATTGTCCGTGCACATCGTTCGTTTTTGCCGGGCCTGTGCGCGCATCTCCGGTCAACCGCGTGGCCGTACCGTGCACGTGCCGTGCACGTTAGCTGTCTCAACGGTCGAGTTGTCCCGAGTCGAGTTGTCTCAACGGTCGACTTGTCTCAACGGTCGAGTTGTCTCAACGGTCGACTTGTCCCGAGTCGAGTTGTCTCAACGGTCGACTTGTCTGACATTCGTGTGCGTGCATATGCACAATGCAGTAGCTCACTGCACGTAAGTAATGCGTAGCTTGAGCCGCCGTGCAATGCCGTGACAGTTCCCGGGCCGTACCTATACATGACCTAGCCGGGCCAGCCCAAGTACTTGGGCCTTACTTATCGCCTTTTGGAAAGAATGTTGCAACCTGACGTTACTTCAGCGGTTGTGTAGGCCTACAAAGTCTATGGAGAGTCAAGAACATTTTCTAAGCATTTCCTAACAAAATTGGCAATGTTTCTCAGTCATTGTCAATTCATGTTTTATCATCATTTTTGTCAGGTTGCAACATTTTTTTCATATTTCTTTTCTCAATTTTTACATTTCTTTTTTGACAACTCTCTATTGACTGACATTTTACATTTCTAAAAAGCAAACAAAATGGTGCCGCAATAGGCCTATATCTATTTTTTGTGTAACAAGATTGGAAACATTTCAAATTTCGTATTTTTCCAAAATAAGGTAAATGGAATGACTGAGTGATGGTCATTGTGGTTACATCATGAATAACATTAGGAAGTTAAAAAGAATGTTTTTTTTTTCATTTGAAATATTCCTTTTATTTAATTTTTTAGGTATACAACGCTCTATTTACCATGGCTACCTTGGTCAGTTACATCCAGCCATCGGAGTGGCAGTTCCAATGGGTGTGCCACGGGGTAGACGAACAGGTCCCCGGAAGTGGCGGGCAGGAGTGCGCCCTTTTCCTGGGCCCGATCCAGAGACTCCTAGAGACCATTCTGGTGCTCTCAGTATGTGCAATCGAGATGTGGCTGACCTGGCCGCGTTTGGAGATCCCGGCCAGCTTGCTGGAGGCTGTGGAGCGCCACCGCCTGTCGGGCCGCGGAGAGGCGGGCAAGCGCCTGTTGCTCATCGTGCTGTGTGTTGTTTTCGGCGTGGAACTGGGACTGAAATGCGCCTCAAAGAGCGTCATCTACATGATGAACCCTTGCCACGTGCTCACGCTTGTTCAGGTAGGTTGCTACATGCTGCGAGGAAATATCGCGTGACCCAAAAGGAGGCGGAGCTGATTTGTATGGTGCCTGAAGAAGGAGGGGAGTTTCTCTTCTAATCTCGGGCGTTTCTCGGGCCAGAATCAAATAAAAGCTGTTGTATCAATTGTTGCCATCGCAAATTTTGTGACGGAATCCATTCTCTTTAGAAGCTTATTCCCATTTCCGCTGCGTTTCCATTTCAGACAAGCGCTGCCCTTTGTGCAAGCGTGCAACAACATGTGACCTCTCCTCGCCAATGGCGAGGTTAACAAAACTATAATTAATACGTGTCGGACAAAATATTAATCGCAAGTTCTTACGTGCCTATGACAAAAATTATTTGTCACATCATGGCAGTCAAAAAAGTATTAAAAACCTTCACCACATGCCTACATGTAGATGTACGGCCAATTAAAAAAAACAAAATAGTTTTCTTGTTAAGCTTTTCTTTTGAATGAAGAAGGCGGCCTTTTTTTTCCCCTCCAAAGATGGTGGATTTTCCAAGAGGGCAGATGGAATCGAATAGTAAATTGAGGCTAGTCCTGGTTCATGCTACATGTTTCTTTTGGCACAGTTGATTGATGCAGTACTGAAGAGGTGTTGGACTGGTTGTTTCAGGTGCCAGTCTATGATTTTCTTGCATTGCAAATTTTTAATGCCTTAAGTTTTGGGACTCTCATACACAGTGTTGGGAGTCCCAAATTTTCAGACTAGTTGTCGACCAGCCTGTACAAAAGCTGTGGGATAGATTTTTTTTTCGGTTTGTCATAGTTATATCAGTAGGAGGGTTATCTAATGGAGCACTTAGCTTAGAGCGTCAGCCACAAAACGATACAATGTATAGGTCAGCAGCACTTAGCTCTGTCGCTGTGCGGTATTTTTAGAAATAAATCAATATCACTATGAATATTTGATAAAGTGTAGTCGATGGGGCAATTCACGGTGCGCTGTTTAACATGTCGACTCTTTATTCAAAGCTGTGACCGGGTCCCAATTACATGCAGCTGCAAAACAGTTTGCTTGACATTTTCTGCCTGGAATTGACCAATTTAGTTTAAACTGTGTTAATTTTTGAAATTTTAAAATCAGTTTCCTTTTTACGTGTACATGTATGTGAGTTTTGCTTCAAAAGCTGGATTCAGATCCAGTGAAATGGAATAAAATTCAATTCAAACTGTTGACTTTATGCTAACTTTGTTTAAAGGGGCACTGCGTCCTGAAATCCCCGAAAAATTTCGTGTTTTGGATTGTTTACTTAGCCTATTTCAAACATCTGGTTGAAAGGAAACCAACCTAATGTCTTATCGTTCCCGAGAAAAGACGAGAAAAACCCGATTGTTTACATCGGACATGACGGAGTATGATACGCATTTCCTGTCGTTGTGTGTGTCTAGTATTGTACACACGTACACAGCACCGTGCTCACGAATAGCGGTGACCAATCACCAATGCACAGTGATTTCTTACACGTCCGCAAAAGGTGGACCCCGAAAGTCGTTCTCGTACAAATAACACATGAATACTACAAAAGTGCCCAGTTTTTAAAGGATAGTTGTGTGGATGTTTATATCCTACTTTTAAATGTTCTTTCCGATTAACATCGTTTCATTAAAAGCGCGTTTTGTAGCCCAATTGGGTGTCTTCCGGGACGCAGTGTCCCTTTAAGGCAGAGTAAAAAAATTAACAGTTTCTCGTCCGGGCTTTTGAAAAAAGGAAGGAGGGAACAATTGTTCCCCGTAACATGGCATATTCTTCCATTTTCTCGACTCTTTTGCTGATACAAAATTGTGTTGAAATGAAAGGAGCCGTTTCTACATATCTACAATTTTGGCGGAAACAAATGAAATAAAGATATTGACAACATGGGAAAAATGTATTTTAGTATACGAGACAGGACCATAAACTGGTTAATTTTTTTCACTTGGCCTAAAAAATGGGGCGAGTCTATACCAGGAAGCATTGTGCATGAACTGTATGCCTAGTGTGCCTATTCTTCAGTACATGTACCAATTTGTGTATGTTGAGCTATATCATTGGCTGTATTCATTCAGGATGATATATGATGTATACATTTCTATACATGCTCATATGTATACAAAGCATAGGATTACACATGATTTATATAAGGCCAACATGTATGATGCACAATGAACATGTTGGCGTTTTGCCCAAGCTAGCTGCCAGCAACTAAATTCAAATTGACAAACATTTAGGCTAACACTTAAAGGGAAAATACAACATTTGCAAACATCCAAAAATAAAACTACCAAATCATTTTGAAATACCTTGCTGGACTGTTAGTGAATGACAGTGTAAAGCATCCTGTAAAATCATCGCACCTGGTATACTGTCATTTTCAAGAAAAGTGGTATTTTTGTATCAATTTCCAACGCTGGTCGGCCGACCAGCGTTGGAAAAAACTGGCTTTGTTTCAAATACTGGCCCCAATTGACCATCGCACTTGTTTGCAATCGATTACACACCTATGAATGGGTACAAGCCAGCTAGACTGGCTCCCTGACCTTACAATTCCCCAATGTATGTAAACTGCTCTGTTTCTTCTTATATGGAGTCAGGGAACCAGACTACAGGAAAACAATTGTTTGTCTTGGTTTTTATAGCATTTTCGAACCCAAAACCTCAAAAAAGTCAGTGTAACTATATTTGCTATATATTTCCAACCCACCAATTCCATCCATTTCTGAAAATTACAGCAAAAGCAAATGATGTATATTCCCTTTAAGTCATTTTGTTGACATAACTGTTAACTGTTTGACCATCTAGCCAGTGCATAAGATCAAGGACAGCATTGTCTATTGGGCTGATGATCTTAAGAGGATTAGTGGTCTGATTGTGTACACAAAAGCCCATACTGTTGACAGGCTATGACCATATAGAGCAAGAAGATAAGTGCTACTACATTGTACATTGTACACAAGTATGGGCATGTCAGTACATTTTGTGGCTTTTGATGTTCCAAAACCCACCAGGAGCGTGTATTAGGCCATATTTAATTTAACCCCAACCCTGCTGAATCCAAGAGGATCCAACTATGTCACATACCCGATGGAGCCTGTTGGATTGAGCAGTAAACCCCTTGTGTACATTCCTGATGCAAAATGTTGGATTCAGCAGGTAACTGAACCGCATTATAATGCCAAGTTGGAGTCCGTTGGACTCAGCAAACAGCTGAAAATAAGGCACAGTGGATTGAGCAGGAAACTCTGGTTGGACTCTGTTGGATTTAGCAGGGTAGTCCTGAGGAACTACTAGGGGGTTAGGGTTAATTATTATTGTTTATTCATGCAAAACAATATTGGACAACACGGACAGGCATCGCATAGGGAGCGACAAGGATAATGAAAGGCAGCCCAAGCCTTGCTCAGTAGCAGTCTCAGAACTGGGTATGGGAAAAGAAATAATTTCCTTCGGCATTATTGATTTGTTTTTTCACTTAGTTTGATTCAGATAACAAGGTTACCAAAGATATTTGAGTCCTGTTAATTACTGACATACCGGTATTGAATTATGCATGGCGTATTAATTATTTATTGCATCCTCTTCACTCCACCCTATTATTGATCCTTCTGGCCTTGGTTGAAAGTTCAGCAATAAAATTATCATAATACTTGTAAATAATATATACAGACCAATATAATAGAGCTGTAAATAAAAATTATACATTCCAGCTGATTTAGGCATACATGTACAGTCCATAGTAAAAAATAATTTTATTTTTTGTGTACACGCCCCTCATTTTTTGAAGCAACTTTTAACTCTCCTATACAGACATGCATTCTGTGTAGAGTTGTCCTTTCAGTCAAAATCAATCAAGTGACTGTTTTCAACAGTTAAGAGCTCCCAGCCTACCTGTACTTAAAGCAGGATGTAACTTGTTTTAGAGCTACATATGCTTTGGCTGTAGGTGATTGATAAGCCAGCTGTGCCGACCACTTGCCTGCTTTTGTCTGTTGACTGAATTTGACTATATAGAGTCACAGTGCTTGCTTGAAATGTGATCTGACTGTTGGTGACTAGCCTGTGTAAAAGACATGGCAGGGGAAGAGGATTGATATTTTGACTGACTGTGACTATTCAAACAGCAGGAGGGTTAATATAATTTCAATTTAGGCAGTGCTTTGTGCAATTTTTTTAGCTTGTCAATCAAACATAGAATGTTTGAAGCTTCAAAACAAAATTCTTCAAATTGTGTCATAAAAAAATACAATACAGGGTGTCCCCCCCAAAAGTTGTGCAAGCAGATATATAATTTCTTCATCTTGATGGAGCATATTAATTATACTCTTGTGTACTGGTACATTCAGTAAAAAATGCCATGGAAATCCGTTCATGCAAACCAGAGACCAAACAAATTATAAAAGGCTAGGGTTTTTTCACCCATTCCAATGGGATGGGAATGTGACAAGGCCCATGACAATCTGATGCACTGATATCACTAACTGTGTAAATCCCATTGGAATGGGTGAAAAACCCATAGCCTTTTACAATCTGTTAGATCTCTGGTTTGCATGAACGGATTTCCAAGGCATTTTCACAGATTAAACACAAGAGTATTTTGCGCCATCAAGATGAAATGTTCATGTTAAGTAGTTTTTGAAAAATTGAAGGATATCTGCTTGCACAACTTTTTAGGGGACACCCCATACTGTACGCGTCTTATTTCTGTAGAGAGTATTTGCATTAGACAACTACTCACTGTAGCACAGTCACCCTCAATAAGTTTGTTCCTTTTCTTTCATTATTTCTTCTTTTTCCAAGATATACCTTTTAGCAGTACCTCCCAGCAGGACGGCGTTAATAGTTTTCCGAGCCCACATGTCCGCCCTCAGCGGTCCGTTCCTGGCGATAATTTTTCCAGTTCTCAACACCAGATTGGTAAGTGATTTTTTGTCGCAAAAGTGGTGTGATTGTGTTTGGATTATATTTAATAAACCACAAAGGGAAACTGGCTATTTCCACTTCAAAATTGTCCATTGCAAAGACTTGTCCGAAAAGCGATGTTCTTCAGTCAGTACAGTGTGTGTTCACAGGCGCATTTGTCGTTAACCATTTTTTCTTTGTCTTGTTCATTTTTTTTTTTTAAAGTTATCTTGTGAAACGGAGCTGTATTGGGTCCAGCACATGCTAATCTATCTCATCATACCACCGTACCTCATGAGTTTAGGAGGTGAGTGACCTTTGACCCAACTTGCTTGTTTGTAGTTTTGGCCCAAGGCTGGATTTTGGCTCTGTAATTTAACTACTTTGCACCGGGATTATTTTTGCCGAACATTTCGATTTTCGCAAAAGACAACATTTTCCAGCCGCCTTCTGATATACAGCCAAACACCATAACTACTGCTTTGCAAGAGTCATTTCCACAGTATTTGTACGATATTTCTTTCTGAAACCTCATATGTTTCAATACTCCGAGGCGCCCACTGGAACGTAAATTGTACAACAATAGGCCATGCAAAATGGCCAATGCAAGATCAGCACACGGTCCGCCTCCACGGACTTCATGGACTTTGTGTATGTGTACAAAAGGAATGAGGGATGAGCGTGTCTAGACGTCACCCGGAGGCGAGTCGAGGCAATCTTGATGTCTTTACCCGTCAGCCGTGCCTGTGTATACAAACAGCCAGTGCGTGTTATCATGTCCTCAAACGCAAACTGGTTAATATACTTGGAAAATTGGCAAAACATCAAAGCTTCTAGGACAGACGAGTTTCAGAAGAAAAAAAAAAGACCATGCTTTGCAAGCCAAGAACTTCAAGAGGAATAGTGCTTTCTTGAAAGAAAGGTACCGTTGCCTGTGGCAACATTTGACAACTGGCTTTTTAAACATAATTTTGTTTTCTTCAGGTGCTTATACATGTGAGCCACTATCAAATTTTTCCTGGGTGATGTTCATGACGGGCGCCCAGTTCATCTACCATTTTGTACCACTTCAAGGTGTAGCGTTGGTAAGCATTGCACCCCCTTCCATTGCCAGTATTAACAAAAAGTGTGGCATGAGTGGATGAGTAACACTACATAACTGCCAAAATAAAATTGTCAAGTGACGCCCATTGTAGTATGCAGCTAAAACTGTGTCCGTGTTCGAAATTGTTTTGGTGAAATCAGGTGATGGTAACCGTTGCCGTTATGTCCAATATAAACAACCCTGGGGCTGATTCCACGAAAGTTGTCTTATCTTGCGACTCATCTTAGGACTAATGACGGGCCCCTGCTCTAAGATCGATCTTAATAGCTAAGATCGATTTTACTAAACCAATGTTAAGCAGAACACATCAAAACTATAAATTTGATGGCTGTTTCATGTTTTGCTTTTACCGCTTGACGAAACAGTTGTTGAAAAGAAACGCGCAAAACAAAACCAACTGCCTGCGCGTGTGCGTAGAACGTGCCTCTTCGCCAGGCAAAATTACTGCACTCAAATCAGTTTCACACGCAAGGTTGATCTTCACAAGATATGATAGAGTCATTCTCGCTCCCCGTTTCATCACTCTATTTGAAAAAGTCGACTAGGTGTTGGCGTATTTGGTAAATACGCTATTTTTGTATTTATTTGAACTAGCCACGTATCAGATATCTTTTCAAATCTGTTTTTACAGCATTTTTCCCCATATTTGAGAATGACTGACCAATGAATACATAAATGAGCTCTTAAGATCATGCCAAGCCAGTGTAGGAAATGGTCATGGAAACCCAAATTTTGTCCTGGAAAAGTCCTGGAATTCTTTTCAAGATTTCTGTGGGAACCCTGGATCATGGGAGGTATTAATTTACAGTTCCACACTCCAATGTAATTTTCTGTCCTGAATATTTTCTTGCCAGCTTCTGCACGTCAACCTGAACAACATGCTCTGTCCTGCGCTGAGCGACCCCTTCCACAGCTCCTGGTATCGCATGTTTGCCCTGGTCCACCAACACATGCTGCTGCCGGTCCACCTGAAACTGTACACCCTGGTGATGAGGTTGATACTTCCCGTGTACGCTGAACCCGTCAACGGTGATGTCATCAAGAAATCTCACTGAAAGGGCTTTTTCCAAACTGCGGTTGCGTCCCTGAAATTTGGCTCTATAGATGACAGGCCCTTCACTTCTGGGATGCAAAATGTAGCCCTACTTAGGGTCAGGGCCACGCTATGCTTCGCATCAAAGCCTATTATGTGATGACATTCATTTGAGTGTTTCTGTACATTGTTGCTTTGAAGGCTTTTTTTAACCGTAATCTCACAAAAGCTACAAAATACTACTAGTAGTAAACTGTAGTATGAAATACTTCAGCATATGAGTGTGCACAGCGCTCATAGTATTCTGTAGGTCTCAGTTCTTTATCCCAAAGTAATGGCTAGGACGCTAGGGTTAAAATGAATCTTGATCCACAGCTGCAGCCGAACCTCAAGACGAAGCCGCAATTTGGAAAATGACCTATGTGTGCTGCATTCAGTATTTTTATTTACCAAATTAGCAATCTCATTTCATAGGAAAACCGTAATCTTCTAGCAATTAACTTTTTCATCTGTGTGAGTAACTTAATTTTTTGTTGTCGTTCAACTGGGCATTCGTATACATTCCACACAATGAACGAGTCGGTAAACAAGTAAAACTTTACAGTTTGTAGGGTCAGCTTCGGCTGATTAGTTATCATTTTGTTTCAAACCCCACCAGTTCTTGAATGCCACAGAAATGCCCCAAATGTATATCACTCAATCGAAAGTGTTGTATTTTTTTCCCTTTAAGAAACCTAAGTTAAAAAAACTTCTATGTAGTCGTACTCTGTTGTCACGTTACTTACCAAAAAAATTGGACTTACTTTGTATTTTTTGGGAATATTAAGTGTTTTATTTTTGTTTCGTTACTTTTAATTGTATAGTGGATAACACAAGAATACTTTTGTAGTTTTATTTTGTATTTGCATAGAATATTAACTCGTCTTGACGATTACAGTATTATATGGAAGCTTGTGTTTCAGTCCTTCCAGTAAATCATATTAAAAAAGAATGCATTAACTTTAATAATTGCACAAAGAATTAGTTTACAATTGTATGTAATCATACTGTATAAAGAGATTTGGAAGCATAAGGCCAAAAAAAAAAAGTCTCCGGTTTCTGGTATGCGCGCGCGTCGCTGTAGCCAGGCGCGTCGGCAAAATGAAAAAGTTTTTTTTCAATAAAAGATGATGTCTCCAAAACGCCAAACTCACTGGTTTGACTGGAATCCTGCTGCTGCACAATTTTAACGTGTTTTTAGATGGGGTTATGATCGAGAATAAGCTTTATGTGGCCTCTCAGGACTCCCATATATTTGCACTAAGTTTAGTTGGGCACCATTTGCAGTCATCAGCCGACATTTGAAGCAAAAAAAACAGGTAAAAAAAAAAAAAAAGCTGCGTCGCCGCACCACTTTTTGGGCAAGCTCCATACCAGAAACCGGAGACTTTTTTCTTTCTGGCCTAAGGCCCGTCTCAATTCAAATCCAGGACGAATTCCGGACAAGTTGCGGGTAGAATCATTCTCTTTGTCAGGAAGAAGCACTGCATATGTCCCAGACACATGTTCCGGGGAAATTTTCATCAGCAACTGCTTGACCCACCAACACTGATTGCGGGAAGTTGTTTAGAATCCTGCTCTACAATGTATGTGCGCCACTTGTCCAGAACTCTTACCCCGATATGATTAAGCCATTTGCAAGTGACCGTTTACCCTTTGGGATTTAAATTTGAAAAACATCTGGTACACTGACTTGCTCAGAATGCTTGGCACATTTTAAATTTGAATTCTCCTGACCAAAAACACTGAGCTTGCCCCGAATCATGTGATTAGCAACACTGTTGCTAATCACATGATTCGGGGCAAGCTCTTGCATAGTTACTACGTAAGAGATGCTCAGCGCTAATACATTGTTCACAATGGCTGAGAATGGCACAAAGACAACAGCCCATGCCGGAGCTGGGGGCTGCTATCATAAGGCTTGCCCCGAATCACATGATATAGTAACAGTCTCTTTGGTCGGGAGAATGCAAAGTTGAAACGTGCAAAGCATTGGATTAAGTCAGCGTTCCAGATTTTATTCAAATTTAACTCGCAGAAAGGCTTATTGAGACGTGCCCTTGCTGTCATAATATTGTGACGTGTGTTGTGTGTATTTGAAATCTTTGCTACACAATCTGATGCAAAGCGTATATAAACCAAACTTTGTGTGTAAGACTGAGCATAGACTGATTGCATTCAGCTGCCATCTTTGAGGTGTGTTTTGTTATGTTAATTTATTAACAGTGAATGCCAGCATCACAACTATTTATTGAATATATTTACAGATGTTTGTCCTCCTGTCTATTGATAATCGTAATAACTGTCATTGCTCGTTATACATAAACATTGGCGGATCCAAGGAGGGGGCAACAGTGACCATGCCCCCCCCCCAAGGATTATTATTAAATTATCATTATTATTTTTTAATTTTCAGGAAATACATTAAAACGTTGCGTACATCGCTCGCAAGCTATCTGCTACACATACCTATTAGTTTTAATATTACAATGTGGAAATAGCGCACCATATCATATACTTAATTTCTTTCCCCTTTTGGACAAAAATACTCAAGACCTCTTGCCCTTCCCTCCCCCTAAATTTAGTTCTGGATCCGCCCTTCCACATAACACATTTTTCTAAAACGGTTAGCAAAACCCTCAGTATGATAGCACATGGGCCTTTGTATCGATAACAGTTTTTATTTAATTTAACATTATATTTTGCCTCTTAATCAAATCTCAAATCTTATCTATAGACTAACATTTTTAAGGTTTTGGTGGAGTTACTTACATGTTCAAGATAGTTGTCGATATTATTTAAGCAACTATGTTGGTCGTTGCCGGGAATAATGTATAAATTCATATTAATAATATTTGTTAGCTGAGAATTTGTGAAATACTGTTTGATCACAATCATAATTCTATTAAATTGATTCTATGAATCTACTGTGTAATTCTTTATGTGCACAACTTGTTAGAAGTACAGTATTTTGAAATGTTGGACAAAGATTAGTAGGAATTACAAATATGTAAATATTTAATGGGAAGGAAATTTTGGGCCACCAGATACAGAATGTTCAAGGTTTTATTCGTAAAATGAAGAAAAAAAATATGAAAATATATAGGTGTGTTGATTTTTGTTGTTTTCTTTGTTAAAACATGCTTACACAAAGTGCTTTTGTGGAAATATATTTCAGTATGAAAGTGTCAATTTTTATTGACTTAATCGCGGCTGTTATAATAATTATTGTTGTACTTTTGTTTTCACGTTACGGTCTTACTGCTTTCTTATTGCAATATGTCCTGTGTATCAAAAAGTAATAATAATGGTAATCACATAAAGTAGTTTTTACAAATTTGTTGACCAGATATTCGTTTGGTCATGCCTGCAAAGTAGGTGATGACGTCATGCTTTGTTTACATGTGCGGTTTCTAATAGGTCTCTCTCAAATGACGTAACCTCTTACAAACTGCCAGGTGCATCGGCATTTTGTGCGTCAAATGGACCGATCCAGTAAGCTCCGCCCAGTGCGCACGTGGGCAAATTAACACGTACTCCTCTCAGCTCCAACGCCACGCTGCATGTTCCTGCCGCGCGCATCATACGCGCGTGCACGCACGTCGGACATAAATCACGGCTGTGATTGGTCCGAACACCATGGGGCGGTGCTTACTAGATCGGTCCATTGTCATGACGCGCAGTGGCTGAAGTATGGGCATTTAGCACTGGTGTCTGCGGGAATTTTAATACAGCATTGCACCCTTAGATATAGGCAGTGGGTACTGGCGAACAAGGCCTTCAGCTTGTTGGCTAGATCAAAACACATTGCATTTACTTCTTTCCACCAAAGTTCATCAGATTTGGTGACAACTGTTGTCACGGTAACATAACATTCTGATGGGTAAAATAAGTATTATTAATTAGAGAGAGAATATTTATATGTACTGTATTGGCGACCAAAAAATAATTTTTGATCTTGCAAATATATAATGAAGAAATTTTTTTTTTATCGAGCGCTATAGCAAATTTGTGCGATTGTTGACTTGTGATGTTGTAGTTATGGAGGGTACGTGCTTATTTAGACTTGGATACAAGCCTAGATACTGGGATTAGTGTGGCTGTTCTGCAGCGGCAACATGATTCAACTGCCACAGCCCACTGGAATTGAGGCTACTTGTGACCAGAATACTGCCAATACATGTATTTGGACTTGAGTCAAGTCTAACCGTGAGGCGGTATCATCCAAAAGCTGGAAGGAAAATGGAATAAAGAATGTAATGAATTGAAAAAAAGTTATTCATTAAAATTGTGTCTCTCTTTCATATCTTTTTCTTGGGCCTTTTGTGATTATTTGTGTCCAACTGCAATCCTTACGAACGAACTTAACATGACAAAATGGAACCCACAGAAATGACAACTGGTATATTCAAATGCTTGACGTACTTCGCCAGGCTATATTACTATTAGATAAATGCTATCTCTTTTTTTCCTCTTGGGTGACTTATGGGTTGGAGAAGAACTGCTGTCAAGTGTCTTGCCCCAGAACACGTGGCCATATGCAGATTTAAATGATTTGGACAACAATTTGACAGTAAACTCTATGATTGTTCATTTGGACAGAAAGTTGGTAAGTTCTTGGGGGTAAAAATCATGCATGATGACAGAAAACTCATGCCGAACAATTTCAAAAGGTGTTTCAAAGCCCAGGAGTGTCGGTTAAAAAAAGTAGCTTTTTAAGGAAATGAAGTAGGATTAAATTTTCCATCTTGATATTTTTTTTATCCCAGTCGATTTCCATTTTAATTACCATTATTTCAACATTTCTTTGACAAATAGCGGATTTTGATTATAAAAGAGTGCATTATTTTCTTCAAAAAGTCAGATAAAGTTCTTTTCACAAAAAGGTGGAAATAGCGCAAACAAGACAATTATTTCTGTATGCGCATGTACTTATTGTGTAGAGCATTATAACTGGTTCTCACAATCCCGACTTTTTGTGCAGTGGATATCGTGCGGTCGTGTACCAGCGATCTCGCGGGTCGGGCATTTAACTTGCCACGTGACCAAGTTTCGCGCCACGTTTGTTTTGTTGACAACTTCTGCTGCTGCACGGGTTTCTGTCGGCTGGTGAAACTTGGTGGTGAATTTCTTTCCCAAAGGCAAAGTTCGTTTCCAGAAACTCGATTTCCAGACCTCAGCTTGTTATTCATCATGCCTGCGAAAGACTACATCGCCGAGAAAGGTCTGTCTTTTGAAAACTGCTGCCTTTTGATCAATTTATTGTCAACCTAACCGGCATTTTTTTCAAGTGGTCAATGATCAGATGATGTTTAATTTTTAATAAAACGTAATATTTTTTATTTAATTGTGACTTTGGTAAAAGAGTTTCCCAGTGTTGACAATGATTGTTTGAGCATGTCTCACTCTTAATTATGCTATATTGGTCATAACTGACCCACCGTGTATGAACGCACAATTGCACAATTAATTTTTTTTTAGAAATTAAAGCCAAAATTAGGGGAATGTCACAAACTGTTAAAAATACTTGATCATTTTACATGTGTTCAACTATGCAATTTTGCAAATAACTACTTACAATACAAACGACATGTTCAGTTGCAAAAAGAAGTACAAAGTTTGCCACTTGATTTTATCAATATCATGTTTGTCGAAGTTTTTGTGAAATGCTTTTTTACAAATTTCTTCGCAATAATGTTTTACATTTTACAATGTTGTATAATTTGTTTTTATAGAAAAGTGTAGAAGTTTTATGTCAGACTTCTACAATGAGGGAGATGATGGCACAAAGAATTTCAAGTATGCCAGACAACTGGTGAGTAACGCAA